AATACATCTAACTCTTCAATTTTGCTCATCATCTCTTTCTTTGAAGGCTCTAAATTCCCAAAAACCTCCTTATTCTAACCCTTCACATTCTCCTTGACCATCTTCAACTTTTTCATAAACTTAAAACCCTCCCATCCATAACAATTAGCATTGGTCCACCATTCCTCAAACTTTCTGTGAAAAGATGGATGTTCCAACCACATGTTTTCAAATCTAAAAGACATTGGGCCCCACTTTAAAGGGCAACTTCCTATCATAATAGGACAATGATCTGACGTTAATCTCGGTAGTGATTCCTACCTTAAATTGGGAAAAAAACCTTCTCATCCCAAGGAGTACAAAAATCTATTTAGTCTACAGCACACCATATTTTCTTGCAAATTAGACCAAGTAAATCTAGTGTTGCACAAAGGAGGATCCACCAACTCACAATCTGTGATAAACGAATCAAAGTCCCTCATGCCCCTAGTAGTTCTAATCCCATTAAGTTTTTCTGAGCTCTTCCTAACCACATTAAAATTAGGGATGGCAATTTAAACCCTGCCTGATGGGGACCCGGACCGTCCTGTCCCGTCCCGATAAATAGGATTTTCCCTGAAGATTATTCCCCGTAGGGCCGGGGCCGGTATTGAAAAACACATCCCCGATAATTTTCGGGCCGGGGACGGTGATTGGTCCCCCAGCCCTGGCCCCGCCCTGATTTTCCCCGAATTATCCCCGTGCCATTACCCCGTATTATATAATATATATATATATATAATACAATATATTATATATGTGTGTTTAGTTTAGAGCAGTTCAGATTCTCAACACACTCTCTCTTTCTTGTTCGTTCTTCTCCCTTCCATCTACTCTGTGAAACTCACTCTCTCTCTCTCACTCTCTCGTCCTTCCACCGTTTCCTGCCTCGTCTCCACTGCCTCATCTCCGCTGCCTCGTGATGGCTTCAACGACTTCGTCTCTAGATCTAGATCGAAAGATCGTCTTCGGTGTCTTCCACCGTCTCCGCAAATCTGAGACTGAGATCTGTGTATGTGTGCAATCAAAGGCAAGAGAGTGAGTAAGAGAGAAAGAGATTTGTGTGTGAGCAATCAAAGGCAAGATGTATGTGTGTTTTAATTTTTTTTTTTTTTGGGGTTTTCTTAGATCTGTGTGTGTGTAATGAACATTCTAATTTTTTATTTTTTTTTATTTTTTTTGGGTTTTCTTAGATCTCTGTGTGTGTAATGAACATTCTAATTTTTTTTTTTTGGGATCTAATTGTGTGTAATGAACATACTAAACTGTTGGGTTGTTGATGATTTTGAGTTATCTAAATTTTTTTTTGTTAAATTGTTGATGATTGAGCTTTTTGGGGGATTTTTCAGAGTTGTGGTTGATGATTGTCGGGGATTTTGCGGGGTCGGGGAAACCTGATCCCTGTTGGGGACGGGGGTGGGGGGGGCGATGGGTTCCCCGCCGGGGATCGGGGGCGGGGATATTTTGATCTTCGGGGATCGGGGACGGGGAGGGCGATCCCCGGCCCCGGCCCGGCCCGTTGCCATTCCTAATTAAAATCTCTCCCTAAACGCCAATTAGGGGAACACAGCCCAGATAACCCATATAACTCTTCCCACAAATCCTTTCTCCTAGACGATCTGTTAGGACCATAAACCCCTATTAACCACCGCTCTGTATTGTCAAGATTTCTAAACCTAACTGATAGTGAGAACTCCCCTCACTAAAGTTTCACAATGAGAAACAACTCTTTCATCCCACATCACCAAAATGCCCCCCCGCTCTACCTACTGAAGGCAAACAAACCCAACTCCTATGTCGAACTTCCCAAAGACTCTTCATGAACCTCCTATCACACACTTCTACTTTAGATTCTTGAAAAACAACTATGTCCGGTTGATGACGCCTGAGAAAATCCTTAGTAACACCCCTCTTCCTCCGAGCACCCAACCCCCTCACATTCCAACCGATGATCTTCATTGGGAGACATGTTCACCCCTAAATACCTCCCGACGCCCTCATAATTAACCGAACTTGCTAAATTCCTAAGTTCCCTTGCCCCTTTTTTGCTACCCTCACCTATCTTTTTACCATCTTTCTCTCTTATGAACCTAATATCTTTACTAAAAGATCCTGAAGTCCCCTCTATTTTAACTAGTTACAAGTCTCATACTTACTTAATTCCTTCAACCAACTCTCCGTTTCTTCATCCCCATTACTAAAAACCTGACCCCCCTTGTCAACATGATTACTTGAGATCCCTCCCTGATTGTCATTCATATGATCTTGACACCATTAGCTTGTAAGGACTCAGACACAATAGTAGACCCACTCACCATGGCCATTGAGGTATCAGAGGTAACCCCTTGTGCCTGAACATCACCTGAGGAGATCTGAAGAACAGGACGAATCGATCTAGATGAATGAAACAATGAATCCCCATCCTTAGCCCCTTCCCCAGAGTTAGAAAAAACTAGAATGGCTTGTACCCTCTTCAGTACAGATGAAAATGATAAAACTTGGTTAAATGAAGGGCTGACCTGATTTAGAGATTCGGAAACCCTCTCGAAATCCTCACCTTCAGTAGTACCATCAGCATTGAAAAGGTTATTGAGATTCCAATCCTGATCCTCAGGTTCATCCGCTATACTTTCCCCTTCAGAATGTGAATCAGAGCTCTCAGATCCGTATTCATCCAAAGCTTGCAATACCTCATGCATTTCGAACCGACCCTATTCCAAGTCCTGAACCAATTTTTCCGAAGCCAAATTAATCTCCACTAAGTCCTCATCCGTCGCATTTAATCTCAGATAATCCTTACAGGATCTATCCACAATATCGGACAGCCCTAGATGTGCTTCCTCTGTGCTAAGGTCATCACGAATGATGGATTGCCTAGGATGAGTGCACTCGACTGGATCTGATGCGACAAAAGAGAGATCTGCTCTTTCCCCCAATCTCTAAACATCGTCTAGGCTTTTCGACACCGATAGACTCAGTATTTTTAACCCGTGAGACCAAATGAATCGAGTTGTCCTGCCCACCCAAACCCAACCTTGAAACCTCCATCGGGTTGGAATCACAGGCCCTAAAACCTTCCCTAAAACTTGGGCCTTTGTCCTGAAAGAAACAAAACGCATTTGGGCCCTCATGAAAATCTAGGCCGCAATCCTTAAAGCTGTGAACATCATTTGGCCCAAACTGATCCTTTACCCCAATATTAATCTGGTTATTTGTATTAACCAAGATATGGGCTGAGCCCACATTGTGGCTAGGCCCATCTTTAATCAAACAAAGTAACGACCTGCCCCTTTCTTCTCTTCCTCTTCCGCCATTGCTGTCTTCCACCTTGATCGGGCCACCAGTCTGACTTCTCTCCTCCTTTCGGCCACGTGTCTTGGCTGTCGCTTGAGACCCCACGCCGCCCCTCTCGCCGATACTGGAATCGCTTGAATCTGGTCGGCAGCACCATTGCCGATGAACCTCCCGTCTACCAAAAGACTTTGTCAATGCCTTTAATCGAACAACAACAGAATTTCCGTCCATTTGAACATCAATAGTCGCAAGTAAGAACCCATTACGAAGACCTTTGACTTTCAATCTTGCCTCAAAACGATTTCCGAAAGTCCTAGTTCTTTTATCCACCTCCAACAGACCTCCACACTTCATCCCATTTCATTCAAAAACCTTGTTATTCCAGAAACTAAAAGGCAGATCACAGACTGAGATCCATCCTCCATTTGAAGCAATGACATTAGCCCTACTGTGTTTTTCAGCCGACCACCTTTCCAAACTTACTGCAATGCTCTTACCAAAAACACACATTCCTTGACTATCATAATAATCCGCCTCGTCAATGCTTTTTGCAACAAACAAAGCTTTGTTTAATTGAAAAGGCCTCAGAGAAATATTAGTTTTAAAAGACCGACATAACTCCTCCTCAATCTGTGCCCACTCATCGAAGAAATCGTTTCTGGTACAAACCACCACCTTGCTCTTCTCCAAAATAGAGCTACTGCCTCCCAAAAGATCTACTTTAGAGCTGAGTACAGCGGCATACGAAGCTCCTCTACTTGCCCCTGTTTTCTGCTGAACTGACATATCCACACTTGTGAGGCCTCTACGAGTCCTTACTAAATCATGGTCACTTCGATGCTGTCTTTCCCCATCTTCCAGAACCCTGGCACTTCCTTGAATAATGCTTTCAAACATCTTGGCCACTGCCAGCCACCCTTGACCACCAACCCCTACCGGAATAACAATGTTACTTCTTCGTACCCCAGCCGCCCATTTAGATAACTCGACAAAAACACCACCCTTATTACTGTACTTCTGAAGACAGAATACAGCTGAACTGCTACTATACTTGCTGAAAAAGGATCGATCCTTGCGCCATCTCCAAACCTGACGCAAACCTTGCATTGCCCAAAAAACTCCCCCGAAATCGATCTTGAGAGAATAACTTCTAAAACGGTTCCTCTCAATGATTTCCACTAGACTTCCTCTGGATTCACTATCAACCTTAATAATGATAAGTTTTTACTCTATACGTAACTCAGAAACTCCCCCGTGATATTCCATCCTCTCCTTTTCCATCTTTAAAATTGACTCATTTTTGTCTTTTTGGGACTCGTCTTTTTTGGACTTCTCTTAGAAAATAATCCAACATATATATTTTATTATTTTTAGGATCACCTAGTCAAGATAGATCTAAAAAGTAAAGAAATTTGACATAATTTATAATAACAAAAAAAAAGTTCACTAAAGACGAAAATAAGTCAAGCTAAAAATGCCAAAAAGCCAACTCCCTCAGGTTTCATTATCAGGCAGAATATCTTTATTAAATTCATTAACTGAGAAAACTTACAGCATATCTCAAAAATTTGAGTTTCAACAATCACCTCAGCGACATCATTGATGATCATGATCCTGGTGATTTAATTCTTGAAAGGAATGCCTGATTTTGCCTAGGGTTCTTATATGTTTTTGTAACTGGCGCATAGGTGAAGGTTCTCTTCCTCATACTCATGGATCTCTGTCGGCGAACAGCTGGTCTGCTCCACCCCTTACCAGTTTCTCAGGTGGGGGGCAGCAACATCCAGGTCCGCCTGCATTACATTGATGGGAACTATACTGTCTTGCCAGAGGTTGTAGAAGCATCCCTCGGCCCACATATGCAGGTACTCGCATACCTTACTCAAACTAATCTGTGGAGGCTGCAACAGATTATGGATTAGAAATAAGTTATTTAACTTGCAAACAGCATTTCTTGATGTCAAAATTATTATACCACAATGGCACTCAAATTGTCAGAATACAGTTTTATTATATGCTATTCTATTACCTTCATATTTTTTATTTGAAACTTTTTGTTATATTATCTGAGCATGCAATGATTTGTGTTCTTAAATTTAAAATTTCAGGCAAATAATACCAATTTTTTTGGGGTGTGTGTGTGTGGTTGATATGCTTATAGACTGCATACTTTGGTCTTCTAGATTACAGTTTATCTCTTCCTATTCAAATTTGGAAATCTTACGTGTGTTTGGAAACTACTCCATGGAAGTTGTTCCCCATCTTAATTAAATATAGATTAAAATTTGCCTAAAATTTTGCTGCAGTCTAAAATCATCCCGCCTCCCCCCCAAACACGCACACAATCTAAAAGAAAATGAAGGAAAGAAAATATACTGCCTGCTCTGTGGTTGGAATTTTATAGGGTTGTAATTAATCTTGACTTATGGTTTTGCCGTACTATGAACTAGCTGGAACTCTGTTTGAACTTTGAATTTATAGTTCTGTTATGGATCACTTCAGCTTCTGACATTTTCTTTCTTTTATTGGGCTTTCTACATAGAATATGCCCCGGCCTCGAGGTGCCGATGCTGCTGGTCTGTTACTCCGTGAGTTAGAACTCCATCCTCCAGCTGAAGAATGGCACAGGAGACATATGTTTGGTGGGCCCTGGTCCGATCCAGAGGATATGGGTTCTGTAGATGATCCCTCCAGACTTAACACTTTATCCGATCCACTAAAACTGAAGTCATTGGAGAACAGTGATATTTATTGTGGGGCTAATGGCTTGTGGCCAAGGAAGCGCAGAATGTCGGAAAGAGATGCAGCTTTTGGCTTAAACACTTCTGTGGATCTGGGGGCATATCTTGGTATAATGGGATCTCGAAGAGATGTTGTGACTGCTGTGTGGAAGACTGGTCTTGAAGGAGTTTGGTACAAGGTTCGGTAGAAACTCTCCTACTTCTTTTTTGGTTTGTTTGTTCTGTCTCATTTTTAAGATTCTTTTGTATTGTGTTTGATCTTTGTTTGAGGATTACTGATTAAAAGATTTTCTAAGTTACAATAGTTTCAAAACCTGTGGCTCAGAGGTTATTGGGTTCAGGAATACAGTTATTCCAATTAGAAATATCTCAAGTAAATAACCAAGAATGATGTCTTTTCTTATGTTTTTCACGACTCTAGGATGAACAAATGCCACATGAACTTTTCACCAAAGGGCGAAGAGTTCTTTAGCTACAAATTTCAACCAGTTGATCTTCTGAACTATTCATTAGGTGGGGATCAATTCTATGTTACCAGAAAACGCTAATATCCTAGCGAATTATGTATTGGTACACACATTCCGAAACATGGAACACTTCTGTTCCAAAACGATAAATTTAGTGATCCGAAGTGATCCTATAAATTTTATCAATATATTTCTTTAAATGTTACGTTAGGAGGAAAAAAATCAAACATAATAAACTATAATAAAAGGTGAGTTAAGTTTTTACAAGACAAAAACATAAAAAATGAGTTATAATACTTAGAAATGTTTTGCTACATGAAAAAAAAATAAAATAATAAAAACTACATTTATTGGATGCCTAATACGTAAAAGAAAATTACTCTAGAGTAACTTAAATTTTTAATCGTGATATATACAAGTCTATCCCTATCGTACTATATTTTAGAGCATGTAGTGTATCACGTTCCCGTTCTTGTTCCACGTACCGGAACGATCCACGTTCCAGGTAACATAGGAGCGAAATGGTAAAACCATTTCACGAATATATTCATTTTTTAAATCTATATTTCCTAGTCTTACCACACATCTGGCTAAACATCCTCATCTCAGCTACACTTAATTTATTAACTTGTTTTTTAGGTTGCCCAACATCACTGACTAGATGTACTATAAAAAAATTTCATTTTTGCTCAAATCCTATGTTACCTGGAACGTGGATCGTTCCGGTATGTGGAATAGGAATGTGAACGTGATACGCCTCATGCACTAGAACGTGATACGCCACATGATCTAAAATGTGGTACGATAGGGGTAGACTTGTATATATCACGCTTAAGCAATTAAGTTACTCTAGAGTAATTTTTTTTTAACTGTTAGGCATCTAATAAATGTAGTTTTTATTATTATTATTTTTTTTTCATATAACAAAACATTTCTATGAGTATTATGACTCATTTTTTATATTTTTGTCTTGTAAAAACTTAACTCACCTTATATTATAGTTCATTATGTTTGATTTTTTTCCTCCTAACATAACATTTAAGGAAATATATTGGTGAAATTTATGGGATCGCTTTTGGATCACTAAATTTACCGAACGGAAGTGTACCATGTTTCGGAACGTATGTATCAATACGTAATTTGCTAGGATATTAGTGTTTTCTAGTAACATAGTTTCGCTCTATCAAGGTTATATGCTCAGTTAAATTAAATAAATGTATATAGTTTTTAGTACCACATCCTATGTGTGTATAGTATAGGTCTTCCCCTGCCCCTAATATTTTCATTTACGGTGATCATATCGTTCTTTCTTACTGTTATATGGATCATGTTCATTATACATGACCAAATCATCTTAGTGTGTTCTCTCTGAAACTTATCTTCAACCCCATCTTAAACATTCTCAGATGTACTTTGCTTTGTTTTATTTTTAAACCTGAAATCTAAAACAACAAGGTGTTCTCTTTTATTTTCTTTTTGTCTTTGTTCTTTGTTTTATTTTTTTATTGTTCCTCTAATACGAGGCTGTGTATCCAGCCAAAAATTACCATGGTCCAAGTCGTAGACTGATAATCCAAGTAATAATCTCAAATGAGTTATAAGTAATATCTAGGCTGTCTGGACCTTTTGGGTTATTGGTTTTTTAGGGGGCACACTATGGTAGGTATAACATTTGAAGGGATTTACAAAAGTTGAACTGGATTATGCTGCTGGCTGTAACATTATTAAGTGAACAAAGCCTCCTAATTTATTATGTTTTTTGGGGCGTTGACTCGAACAATCACATAGGTTCTTGTTTCTTAATCCTTACATTAGTCAAATTTCTCTCCTCCCTCTGCTTCTATATTTCTTCTTTCTATTTTTTTTAACTTCTTTTTTTTGTGTGGTCCTCATAAGCAGTGCATAAGGTGTTTGAGGCAGACATCAGCATTTGCTTCACCAGGTTCCAGCAACCCTACTAATCAGAATGAGAGGGAAAGGTGGTGGATCAACCGCTGGGCTTATGGCTGTCCAATGTGTGGTGGGACATGGGTTCGAGTTGTATAGAGTATTACATTGACCATTTCTGTTATCAGGTATGGTCCCTGCCCATTAATCTTGTCATCACCAACTCCTTCATACTATGCCCTCAGTGGGGCTGGGGTGAGGCTATGGCTCTCTCATCTTGAGGGAGTGTCTGTGGACCCTTTATATTTGTTGCCAGCACTGGCCTAGCCCTACTTCCTAGTGGGTATATCCTATTATGGTTACGCCCAAGAAAGGTTGCCATGAGCTTGTTGCTCCTTCCTACCCCGTGTTTCACTACTTTAAAAAGAAAGCTATAACAGTGCTAATTCATTTGTTTTTAAAATCTTGGGGCATGAGCGTTGAAAATCTTCAAATAGACTGAGCCTTGGATTTATTTATTTATTTATTGTTATTATTTGAAGTGGAGTGGACAGAATAAAGAAAAGAAGAAAGTGGTTCACTGGAGTTTGTCTCTTGAAAATGGTTTTCTTTCTGTTGAATTTCTTTTTCTCTATTTTATTTCATGGTATCAAAGCCAACAAGAGAATTGGAAAAATAATCCAAAACCTGCTTTAGTTATCAAACTGTTCCTGTCTGCTCTTTTTTATTTTTTATATTTTATTTTATTATATTTTTATGATTAATAGAAATGGACACACTTCTATTATATGCCCTATACCCACCCAATTTCTTTGGTAGATGCTAACATGAATTATGTACACAATAAGGATCACAACCATTGACATAGTTTGGACATCAAGCCATCTTATCAATATATTTACAAAAAACCCTTCGATGTAGTGATGAAATTGGGCTCTGGAAGTTCTGTGTTTTTCTTGTAAAGTGATTTGCACAACTGTATACCATAGATGGAGTGGGGAGGAGATTAATTCTAATTGTGAACAAAGTCTCTTAGTTTTTTAAGAGCTAGGGCACAACATTGTTTTTATTTATTTATTTAAAGCACACGCTCTTAAGGATCGCTGCAACTCCCCAAATGAATCATTGGTGAAGCTTAGTCTCAAGAAAGTTGTTACAGGTTCACTTTGGAGGATGAAAGAGTGATTTTAAGCTGAAGTTGCATTTGGTGGCCCTAAATTCACTAACTTTTCCATCCCTAGAGCAAAAACTCTCTTTAAGTGTCTACAAGATCTCTGAATTAATTTTGTAAATTATTCTGGTCGTCATAGAAGCTCATTATTTTCAGACTTCATATCTTTATTCCCTGCTTGATGAAATTCAATAAATTTGTACTTGTCAAATGAAAAGTTATCTGCCTTTCATGAACGTCTGTTTTCATAATTGCATATTGTATATCCTTAGTTATAGACCTCATTGAATTGACTCAATAGTTACGAACATCTTTCCTCGTGATTGCAGGTTGTGTAACCTTCTCTTATAGACTTAAATGAATTGACTACACAGTTACTATGCCGGGAGGTCTGAAAGACTGAAATAAATTAGTTGGGGCTATAGCTGCTTGAAGTTGACTGGATTAGTTACAATCAGGAGCAAAGTTAAGGATTGATGTTTTCCTACCAAACATGACCTAGATACTAACATTCTGCTGTTGCTATACCCAGCTCAGCTCAACTTTTTATTTACAAGCCGTCCATCAAGTGTTGGGGAATAATTGGAGGTTAGACGACGGCACATCATCCATTTTTGGCTACTTAAAGTTGATCACTGTCATGTTTTTAGTAAGAAGCGCAAGAACATATTGATATAACTTGATGTTGACCAATGTAAGTTATATATATATATATATATATAAATGTATGTATGTATGTATGTGTCACTTGAAGGGAGATAACATATTGATGTAACATGATGTTCAGTGTAAGTTTTATTTAGTCACGGGAGAGAGCATGGGGATGTAACTCGTAATTTAAATCATATGATGGTGAATAGTTTGCTTTGTACTTTGTGTTTACTCGAATCAGTCCTAGTTAATCACTACATATGATTAAATTGAGAAGTTTTATTTGTAAATGACATCTAATAATTAAAGCCAAAATCTTGTCTGACTTTTACAGACGTAAATTATTCCGGGTCTTTTTTTTTTCAACGCTTTTTTCATATTAAGCCAATTTATCATCTTAATTTCTAAATTAGGCCTAGTTTGGACGAAATTCTCGAACTAGGCTAAAACGCTATTACAAATCACGTTTTCATTGTTTGAGACCGAAAATTTGATAAACAATGAAAGCGCTATTAGAAACTACGCTTTTAATTAAGAAACCGTGGTTACAAACCACGCTTTTAACATAAATTTTATTTCTGAAGAAAATGTGGTTTCAAATCACGCTTTCACTGTGCATGTCGTTTTCTGAAAAAAAATCACGTTTTGACTGTGCATATTGTTTAAGTTTGTTTTATGAAGAAAACGTGATTGTGAATCACGCTTTCAATGTTCACTTCAAGAAGCATGGATTGAAACCACGCTTTCACTGTTCATTTAATTTTTTTTTTATTTTTCTTATTAATTTTTTTTTTGTTGTCATTGTTTTGGTGATAATGTAATTCATTAATTTTTTTTTTTCATGTTAATTTTTTTTTTTTTTTTTTTTGTCTTTATTTTGGGTTAGAAGGTGTAATTTAGAATTTTTTGTCTTTACAAAAGTCGTTTTCATATAATTTTTTTTTATTTTTTGTTTTGTCTTTGTTTTGGGTTAGAAGGTGATAATGTAATTCATAAATTTTTTTTGGCTTTACTAAAGACGTTTTCATGTTAAATTTTAATTTTTTTCTTTTGTCTTTGTTTTGGATTAGAAGGTGTTATTCAGAAATTTATTTTGGCTTTACTAAAGCCGTTTTTATTTAAATATATATATTTTTTATTTTGTCTTTGTTTTGGGTTAGAAGGTGATAATGTAATTCAGAAAACCGGTTTAGTAAAACCGTTTTCTAGCCGTTTTCATTAAATTTATTTTATTTTATTTTATTTTATTATTATTTTTTTTCCCTCTTTTGTCTTTGTTTTGGGTTAGAAGGTGGTATACATGCTCTACCGTCTGAAGCATACCCACACAATGTGCAGTTCGACGAACAACAATAAAGGGTGAGACACGAAGAGCACCGCAGAGTAGGCCAAGAAGACGAAGGCCACCGCGAGAGCTGCAGCAAGAAGGAATAAGAGAAAGATCTCAAATTTTGGTGATGTATTTTTTACATATGAATGGTATTTTCTCTGTTTTTTGCTATGTAATGTAACTTGTATGTAATTTGAATTCTGATTACGAACAGGAACTTATGTAATGTAAATATTGGGTTGGAGTTGATGTTATTGTGATTCAATTGGTTTCGCTTATTTCATAAGACTAATTGTGTGCAATGAATGAATGAATGTAAATGTTATTATTTTATTCAATTGGTAGTGTTGTTTTTTGTAAGAATGAGAACGTTATTTGTTATATTCAATGAATAATGGTTACATTATTGGGTTCTCATGATTGAGAAGATGAACACGTTAAGAAAATGTGTATTTCTCCTAAAATAAATTTTGTCAACATTTTTGTAATAAAACTTAATACATAATATACGAAATCACTAATTTACTAAATACTCATACAGGCATGAAAACAATATAACTGAAGTTGCAAATGTAACAGTTTTCAGTTACATAGGTAGTACAGACATAAGTCTCCCACAAAAATACATTCTGGACACCATGAACTGAACACACAATACATACATCCTAGACACCTTGAACTGAACACACAATACATAAACATAACAGTTAGACAGACAAATATTAGGTAGACAATTTGACAAACTCATTACGGAAATACTTAGTCTAACACAAACATTACATATTAATGCATGACCTAATATTGCCGAAGTGTAGACATTACCACCTAATTCGCGCTTAAATCGGCAGGTGGCTCAGAGTCTGAATAATCTGAAAGCTCAGCGTCAGAGACAAGTTTAGGATCCTCCATGATACCCTTGATAGCCGCAACATTTGGTTCTGTTCTGTTCTTCTGGGCATCCTTATTAACTATGTATAGCTGCATATCGCGGGCTAACCTACGACGTATTTGAGAAATCTCACGTTGTAGTTTTTTACATAGTCGATCAACGTTATCAGGATCTTCCTTTTGGATCTCAACAGAACGTGCTTTTGGCACCTTCAGTCGATTTTCCCGACATAATCTTTTCATTTGCACTCGCTCTATAAATAGTGCGGGCCACTTGAGACGAGCAGCGTCAGATAAACCATATCCTGTTTGATTGTCAGATGGCTCCATACATGAACCTCCTTGAACTTGATAATACTTGGGCATTAAAAAATGTCGCTTCCCAAACCTATCACGATAACCACAAGCATAATCTAAAACAGGTATTCCCACTCCCTCCCATGAATCGTCTTCAGCATCGCCACGTCCCCTTCCCTCTCCTCGTCGTACAAGTTCCTACCACCTCGGCGATTCCCACTCCCTTCCATGAATTGTATAGCCATGCTAATTTTTTTAAAACAAATGAAAGATAATTTCGTAGGGCAAAATAAGTTGTAAGGTTGTGTCTTCACCTTTAGTCGTTTATATAGTTGGTTATGAACGGCTTTAGAAAGATGCCTCTACATGACAATCCCACATATACGAACAAGGTATGAGTTGTCACTAGAATGCAAAAACAGAGAAAAGCAAATACTGTGTACCAAGTCACGTGACTTGACAATCCATCTGCATATACTGACAAAATAAGGGCATGCTCACTGTAAGGTAAATCAGTGAATTCACTGTTGCCATGCGACCTTCTGAATTGAGAATCTCACATATATCAATAAGAGATAAGTTGTTATTGTAATAAAAAAATTGAGCAAAAAATCGAGAAAATCAAAGTCTGTGCACCAAGTCATATGACTTGACAATCCATCTGCATATACGGACAAAATAAGGACATGCTTACTGTAAAATAAATCAGTGAATTCACTGTTACCATGTGACTTTCTGAATTGAGAATCTCACATATATCAATAAGAGATGAGTTGTCACTGTAATAAAAAAGAAAGCTTATGTAGGCAATGTTGTGTTTCACTTAGCTATGCATCATTCGTTGTTACGACCAACTATTTGTATTTCATTGAAAAGTATGACTATTTGAAATTTTGTTGTCATTTGGAATTATTTTAAAATCAACTTTTGAATATTCAATTTGTAATATTTTGGAAAACATTTACAATCAACTTTTGAAATCAACTTTAAAATAATGGTGGATCTTGTGAGTGAAACGTGGGTTAGGTAGGAGTACTTGACCACCAATGTTTGTGAATATCATGGTGCATTCAAATCTGTCCAGAAAACCGGTGCATTCAAATTTGTCCAGAAAATTGGTGTCACACAGTAATTTCGGAAGTGTTGTTCTCTTTGGGTATAAATCCGAAAAATATCAAATCAGCGTCATTAGAATTGGTTACAAGTCTAGTTTCTTACATTTTTGGCCTTGCATTGATTGCTATTCTATACCAAGAGAATCGTCAATTTCTTTAAAAAGGTGCAGAAAATAATTTATTTGGGTATAATTAATTGTAAATAGTGATTTTCACAAGCAAATCAAGTAAAACTAATTGGGTTTTAAACTTAGTCCCCCAACTGGACTAACCACTTGGCTTTGAGCTTGTTTATCCAGCCTCCGAAGTTTAGTTTTCTGTCAACCCCCCATTCCTTACCAGAGTCATCATTTTGACTGGACTTCCAGGAATTGGAAGGCGACTCTTTCTTCTTTCCTGATGGAGATTGAAATTCTTTATGTAGAGGATTCCTATTTCACGAGCCCCAGTTAAGGGAAGCTTTTCACTGAGCTACCTGCTTTGTTTTATGTGTTGTTGAAGGCGGTAGTTCGTTTGTCTGAACTTTATTAGTCCCTCAACTGGACCAACCACTTGGCTTTGAGCTTGTTTGTCCAGCCCTCGAAGTTTAGTTTTTTGTCTAGCCCTCGAAGTTTAGTTTTTTGTCAACCCCCCATTCCTTACTAGAGTCGTCATTTTGACTGGACTTCCAGGAATTGAAAGGCGACTCTTTCTTCTTTCCTGATGGAGATTGAAATTCTTTACGTAGAGGATCCTTATTTCACGAGCCCAAGTTTAAGGGAAGCTTTTCACCGAGCTACCTGTTCTGTTTTATGTGTTTTAAGTATTCACATAATTTAACATACATTAATCCATTCATTAATCCAGAACATTCATTAACTCATTGCAATTCAATAAAGAAAGTCATGAACTAATAAATGTGTAGTTATAAATGTTGTTATTTCATAAACTTCAGGTTCATAAAACAAATACTTGAAATACATCCGTACGTTAGATGAACAACAACATTGTCTTACACTCCAGTAACGAAGATACGACACAACATACAAACATATATGAAAAGATAAAGGTGTTTGATTTCTCATTCCTCATCTAACATGTAGTAGTCAGAGAGATATTTTTCATTGTTTAAGACATTATTTTGCTCAATCACTGTCAAATCTCTGTTGCTTGCTTTTGCCATTTCGGTGGCTAGCTGAAGCATGAAATGTCGACATCTTCGCATCAACGTTCTGTTGTTCTCCTTCTTAATTCTGCTAACTGCTTTTTCATAGTCACTCACATTTTGTCTAGCCATGGTCAATGAATGACGATGAGGTACCGGTGCCCCAAAGTTACGTAGATCATTAAACAATCATTCTTGCTCCATTACCCTGAAGGCCTATTCTGCTTGGATACCAGCATAATAATCCTTCGGACTCGAGTACTTTTCACTCTGTTAGTCATAAGTAAATGGGGGTAGCAGCCACACATTCGGATTTCTTTGCCAACGTGAACTTCCCGCACCTCTTGAAGACATTATTCATAAAATAAACAAACAAATAATAATAGTAATTGTAGATATATTACTATTGTTATGACTTGAACAAACATCATACTGGGGGTATCGCTATTTATAGACATCATAGTGGGGGTTAACTAGAGATGATCTAGTGACGATAATGTATGCTGGGGCACTATGGAAGAAGTGATACCCGTGATATTATTTTATGTTATTCATTTCATCCAATAC